CACTCTCTTTTGATGTCTTAGTAAAATGGTAGGTTTTAATCAGGTCACCGACTGTCATTTGAGTTAAAGATCAACTGATTTTTTTTCTTGTACGCACTGTATATCCATTTTTAAGTCTAATGCTTTGGACACCAAAAAGGGTTAATTTAACACATATCCTCCACAAACGCATATTTACAATCACCAACAATGATTCCTCACTAGACACTAACAATAATTCCTCTTACCCGTAATGAATAAGAGAACATTCAACACTATGGGAGAACAGGGGTGTAACTGACAGAAAATTCCCACCAGAACACACTATGCAACAAGTGTTCTGGGAAATGTGTCATATCTTACAATACCGAATTTTAAATCCAGGGCATTGTTACTAATTCTTCTAAATGGCTTGAGCAGCAGAAATCCAGAATGCTGAAAGATTTGTTTTACTGACACTACTGACTTTGCTTCCTATGGCATATGTGCCCTTCACAATTAGGGTTGGCTGGCTTTGTCTGGGTTCAATTTATCAAGGGCTTGGCAAATCCAGTTTGAGATTTTGTAAACCCAAACTTAGCAACAAATCCCAGTGAAGTGTATGGTGGGGGGGATTCTGTTTGTAAACTCTGGCTGTCTTTAGGGCTAATAGGAAAGCTACTGTAAAAAAGGTATGAAAGCTGGGCTCTGCTATGGAGGACATGTACCAATAGAAAAAGAAAAAAAAAACTACACTAGGAACTGGAAAGCAGGTCTTTCCATGCTGCTTCAAGGGAAACATTAAACATACAAATCTTTTAAAGGCTTAGTTTACCTTTATATTATTTACAGCTTAACTACTAAAATATTCTATTACCTCTTTCTCAAGGATGGCACAGCAATTTCAGGGTGCTGGACCAGGCCCATCTCAGCCATCAGAATCCTTGTAGAGAGTCTATTGTAGAAAAAGGTCTAGTGGCATATGCTTAGGTGTTCTTTGCACAATACAGACTGGCCTGTATGTTTGCAGAGTCTGGAAGATCTCTACCTCCTTTTCATGCTGACATCATCTGAAACTCCAGTCACAAAAACAGTGTGCTTCTGCCCATCAACTCCCATGTACTTGCACTATGAGGGTGCAATGAATGTGAGTGATAATATGTAGAGTAGTTTAGGTGCACCCTGTTTTTATGCTTAGTTTTTTTTTCCTTCAATCAATACAGCAATGTACTGCAAGCAAAAGGCAGCTCAAAGAACACATGGTCACTTACATGTTAATGTTGCACTTTGAGCACTCCAAGCTTAAAAAATACCCTATCAACATAAAATAAAAACCAATATACCCCTAAAATAAACAAATACATACCCCCAAAAAACATGCCCATGAAACCAAAGCCTGCTTTTTAAAGAAAAGCCTTCCAAAAAAAAGTTAGCTAAAGACAGAACAACAACAAATAGTGACCGCTGACCTCAAATTAATCACAACATAAAATGAAAGACAACATTATGTCCCAATTATAATAATAAAAAAAAAAAAGAGCTAGCAAGCAGAAATAAAGTACAGTTTCCCAAGTGACCCTAATCTCTATCAACGCAGTTTGCTTTTTTAAATGACGCTTACACTCTACTCTCTACTCTTGTGCATGGGTTTTTCCTGGTGCTCCTTATCCCCTTTGTTAAAAAAGGCTATTATTTACCAAGTGCCAAAGCTCCATCTGAAACATAAACACGAGTGAATGGGTCGAGACAGGGTGCCCAAAAGGGAACAACCTTTGTTTTGCTGTCTCTTTGCTGGGGATCCTTTGTCATAGATTGATCACCATGTACTAAATGTTCATTTGTAAAATAAATAACATTGATTCCTGTGAAGTTAGTTTTTAAGGATAGCTTCAGCTCAAGCAAAAATATGATAGATGTCATATTGCCAGTGTATGTATTGCACGGGTCAGTGTTTCTGCAGTACACTTGCTGGCTGCATAAGTTTAACAAGAGGCAGACTAAGACACCTAACCATTTATTTTCACACAAAACATGCAAGTGGAATTCTAATTTAAATAGACAAGTACAGCTCTCAAGTCTAACTGTTATCGCAATGAAAAAAACAGGCACAGTCCAGACGTGATTACAATTCTAAGCAGTATTTAATGTCATGTCATACTCTCTGCATCTCTGCATTTACAAATAATATCCAGGCTTTTTATTACATTAAAATAAAAGGCAGAAATATTCAATATTACATCTCAAGACAGAAGATCAATGATCATCAAAGTGCTGAATCTTATATAAAATGACAAGACACATAAGTATAATATCTCAGAGAATATGGAAACAAGATCGAGGAAGCATATATAATGATTTCATATGTCACTGAGGTGCTAACAGGAGCCAGCAATCAGCCAAGAAGGGCTAAATCGGACCTGCTCAACAAATAATCCACGCATGAGTCACCACCATCTCTCAATGTCAGTAGGTACCCTCTTAGCTTTGGAAGATACAGATTTACAAGGGTTGCATCGGTGAGTGTATGTGGCGTTTAAGAAACTGCTTTTATTGTTCAGTAAATCATATGAGTATTCAGCACCTGCACTTAACACCCATATTTCTCGGGATGGGCCATCACCATCTGCCCCAACTGGTCTGCCTGCAACCAAGAAGGAGCAGTGTTTGGTGTCCCTGTTCAGTCTGAGTACAAGCAGCTTAAAGCACACAAGTAGGTACTACAAGGTTCATATGCCAAGAAGAAACAGGATCAATGACCATTTTAGATTACAGCATGTGAAACTAAACAAGAGGAGATCAGACATCTCCCTGTCTCTGAGTGGGTTGTGCATTGCTGTTAGATTTTATAGTCTTCTTAGAAAATAAGTGATAACAAGCAAGCAAGTTATAAACTTTGTTCCCTTTTCTCCGCAAAAGAGGTAAAAATATCAGCTGTGATAACCATTGTTTCTAATAACTGCTTTTATTGGGCCTTTAGTAAGTCAAGATCTATCCAACTCCCACAGGTTTTTGTTTTTCATAGATGACTGTTAAGGCAATAAAAAGTTATCTTACAGTCAGTAACCGTTGCAGTACATATTTACCAGAATTTCCTAATCAGATAGAGTTTTAGCAGAAAAAATTAAGACTTGGTTGTTTTGGTGCCATACATTCAAGATTACTGGGCAATAACTTAATATCCAAGTGGGTACTGTGGGTACAATATCCATGTGGGTTTGATTACATAACCACTGTAGACTGACTAATAGCCATGGCAAAGCATAGAGTTAATGAGTATTTGGTACAAGGAATTTCTAAAGCTTTGTACAACTAGTAAACCATATGACAAAATTACAGTAATTGCTGTATGTGAACTCCAAAAAACAAAATGGCCAAACTTGGTCTTTTCATGTCCTATGTACAAATGATGTCTGCCCCAGTGGTTTAATATTTTAGAAAGCCAATACCAAATAGTACAAAGCCTTGCCCCCATGAGCTTCTGGGGCTGGGCTGTGTGACCAGAACAGATTCAGCAGGATGTTAGCAAACTTTGTAGTACAACAAATCCATGAACTTGGATTGATATATGTTAGCTGATTTTAACAAGTCATGTTTTTTAGGCACATACATGGACAGTTCACCTGATTACATAGGTAAAAGATGAGTAAAAATATAGGGCTCTGAACATAAATGCTATTTGCACATGAATGCAACCATTAGAATCCAGGCAGGGGCGTAACTAGAAATCACAGGGCCCCATAGCAAAATTTTGTATGGGGCCCTATGATTTCTAGTAAAACCCTTCGCAGAGCCCACTTGAGATCCCACACAGCCCACCGGAGGGTGACCCTGCAGAGCTCACCATAGACTCTATATGGTGGGCTTTGTGGGGTCACCCTCAGGGGGGCTGGTCACGCTCCTTACCTGTCCACCTCCTCTTCCTCCACGGTCACTGATGGGCCCCGCCTCCTCCTCCTCCATTGCTGGGCCCGCCTCATCCATCACCGGACCCCCGCCTCCTCCTCCGCTGCCTGGTCCAACCTCCTCCACCGCTGTTGCTGGCTCTCAATGACTCAGCAGTGGCTGTAAAGAGGAACGGGCCGCTGTTCAGATCACTGACAGAGACAGTGACAGCCACCAGCATGAAATACCATAGCGACCCAGGCGGCCCGCACGGCATCAGGGATGTCCTGGCCAGGCCCACATGTGCCCAGGGTCCCATAGCAGATGCCTGGGTCGCTATGGCGATTGTTATGCCACTGAATCCAGGGGTAGAGTTACTAAATGACATTTTAGGGATATCTTAGGCCAATTCTGTTCTCTGACTGCTATTCTTTAAAGGAACCATGTCATGACAGAAAGATGGAGACTAGCACTGCGGATCTCTCCATCAGAATATGCTACCTAGCTGGCTGTGATGCTGACCGCCTCAGCATACATGGAGAAGGAGTGAACACTTTCAAGGAATGCAAAAGGGGACAGTTATTGTTACCATAGCAATTCCAAACCTGTCAATTAACCAACCACCAAGTATGATCAGCTGGGTTCTGATGGTACTTATATATACACAGCAGTCATGGTATATGAGGCAATAAGCATCTTACAACTATTGGTACCTTTACAGTCATCATATTTTGATCTATAAAATAATATTCATTCCTACAAATGGAATAAAGTTTAAAAGAAAACCAGTATCTGTATATTTACATTATCTTACATATACTGTTTTTCATGTCAACATTCAAGTAACTGTGCTTACTAAAGGAACTTCATATTTTCTGCTCCCCTGGTATTTTCCACTGAAAGCATAGCAGTGAAAACTTTGTAAATGTTGCATAAATTTATAACACAGAAATATGTACAAGACATTGTCACAGCATAAATTAAAACATAAATAAATGTGACAGGAAAATAAAAAAAAAAGGAATTGTTCCAGTGTTTAAGTCACATATATTAATAGTTATGAAATAATACGACATAAATAATAATTAGAATAAAATAAATAGTTGGCACAGTGCAAACAAAACGGACAGACAGGTAGCAGCAATGGTTGGAGGGGCTGGTTAGAGAGCAGAGTGGATCTGCATGTGATATCGGAACTCCTCCAACTCTACGAAGTTCTGTCCGCACAGTGTACAGCTGTATCCCTTCTCTTTAATGTGAGTTCGGCGAACATGGCTGTCATGAGCAGCGTGAGAGGCAAAGGCTTTGCCACAGTGTTTGCACTTGAAAGGCTTCTCACCCGAATGTTGCCGGATATGAGTGCGAAGGATACTGGATGCTGTAAATGCCTAAAGGAAGAAAAACACATAAATGTTACTCCAAACAGCCAAATATACAGTAAAGGCTAATAGAGATAATACAGATCTACTGCTGAAATGAATTAAGCATCTAAAGTCTGTTAATTTTGTTTTTTGCTATCTGGGCCTTATTGGGGAAATTTGTATTTGCTCCCTGTCTTGGAGACAGAACAGGAAGTAAAAGAAAATCTCTCCGAAAAAAATGAAATCCTTTCTCAGACAGGTGTCATCGTAACAATTGCTTTGCCCTCTATTCCTGTTGGCAAATATTTTGGATCTCTTATCACTTTCTGTCCAAATGACAACAGTTACCAGGACCAATAGAGAAGGTGAATCTCTCCAGGGGTAATGCAGGCAGCAATAAGAATGTGACACACTCTTTCAAAAGCTAAAACAAATGGCTTTAGATACACTTTCATTTCTGTGTTTAGGTAGAAGGTAATGTGGTCCATCTGTACATAAAACTATACCTAGGCAAAACTGCTGTTTAGATTTAAGCCTAAAGTGTTCTTGCTCTAGCAATCTTTTCCCTGATATGGAAGGAGGGAAAGGAAGATGGGAATTCTCCAAGGAGGCCATGAGATTGCTCAGCAATTAGCATGTAAGGCTATGGAAGCATGCTGCAGTGTGTGCAGGAGAGGATAGCTGATTAGCAGACACAATTAACAGTTTGGCCAAACCCGTGGATGGGAGAGAGCGGTAAACAGTATTGTTGTGCTATGTATAGAATGCAGCATTTCAGGATCGTTTAATCACAATAGCCTGAGGGTGGACAAACTCAGGATCCACCTTGAAGCATATGCATTTTAATGGCATGACTTCTAGCCATAAATAGCATTTTCCAGTGAAGACTTGTATAACTGAAGGTTGCCACGGGTACAGGATCACCCATTGTACCAGTCAAATGTAAGAAACATCTTTTCCTAAACATTTCATAATGATTTAGAACTGGAACATGTAGTACTGTCTCATTGGCTGTAATGATAATGAGAACAGTGTTCATCATACAATGGGGTAGATTTACCCAAAAGAATAGACTATGCTCACTTTGAGAATAGTCACTTAGGTAAAGCTGTGTACACTTCAGTCATCCAATCATGTGCAACCAAAAATTCTGTTTTTAATTGCTCATGATTGGGTGTTCAAAGAGAACACAGGTGAACCTTATATACAATACAGTATATATATATAGCAACATCATGCTCCAGCCTTCCCTTTTATCTCACCTGGTTATTCAATCATTAAGCAATTAACTATCCAGGTGAGACACAAAACCCGAGCTGGATTATTCAGACCCAAAGTCAACCCAAAAACCTGATCTGGGTTCCGTTACTCCTGTACATAGGATAGAAAGCGAGGGGAAATATATCGCCCCTTGATGACTTCATCAACCTTTTAAATAAAATTGAGAAAGAACTTTGCTGCCTGGACTACCTGTGTGTGTGTGTGTGTGTGTGTGTGTGTGTGTGTGTGTGTAGATATATATATATTGCTAAGAGCTCTTAGCAACCTGCGACGCTCTGGCTGGCATCCTACTCAGCTCACTGACGACGCTGGTTGCCAGGGGTTGGGTGGGATGCATTGGCTGGCATCCCACCCACCTCCTGGCAAACAGTGACATCA